TGATAATTTGAGCAGCATAGTCCTTATATTCTAGACAGAAGACCACCATTGCTGCTCTATTAGAAGATTAAACTCAACTGTTTTCAATTGATGCATTGGTTTTATTTTTCCTTGGGCATGAAAAATTGTTAAAACAGCATTGCACTAATGCTAAATAAAATACCTAAATTAAATGTAGAAGTATTTAATCTAGAGAAAAAAAATCATCCATTTACATTTTCTTCTTGTAAATATTGACAAATACCATAATGGAGCAACATAATAAAATTATCATTATAAATAATTTTTAAGGCAGCAAATCTTTGTTTCTAAACTCATAATACCCATATACATTCGCTATGTAAATCCAAAAGGTCTAAGCTCACAGAGTAATTTAAAGGGGTTAGTGCAAAATAAATAAATCTGAGTTCAGACCTGATTATCATAAGCCTTATTATAAAAATAAAGTATATTTTGTTGTTGTTGTTGTTGTTGTTTTTCTTGGTAACAGTGATCAAACTCAGGACCTTGTGCTTGTGAGGCAGGCGCTGTGCCACTGAGCTAAATCCCCAGCCCACAAATATGTCTTATAGGAAGTAAAAATTGAAAAAATCCTAATAAGTCATATAATATAAGTAGAAATGAGCAAAACATTACTACTTAAAAGATATTTTTCAACTCTTTCCACTAAATTGAATCTAGTATTTGACTTTCTTTTTAATTGAACGATAAATGTGAATGTCATAAATGATCTAACATTTGTTGTTCTGCACTTTGGTTTTAAAATTTATTGCAAATTTCTCTATATTTAGAAAATCGTCATTTTCTATATTTTAACTTCTTAATTAAAATAAGCTTTCATGTCTACAAAAAGTATTCTGGGTATCATTTTCTTCATTTATCTTTTTAATGTGAATATCTAAGTATCTGTTTTCTGTTTTTCATAGGTGTGCACATTCCTATGATCATGAGTCTGACTCAAACCCAATTTATATCAAATCATCCATTTCTATTTATTATGAAGTATAATCCGACAGGTACTGTTTTTGAAAAATCTTTGGAAGTGCTACATAAATTAAACTACAAGTTGCAATCTGCATATCTGAAATCATTTTTCATTTGGTAGATATTTGTTGAGTACATGACGTACAGCGGGCATAGTATTTCAGTAGATGATGAGCTCCTGAAATAGGACAAGGGTAACAATGGCTTCCTCCTTAATGATCAAAGCTAGTAGCCATTTTGTATGCATATCTCTAAAGGTAGCAACATTCCAGCAGGGTTAATATTTGGCTAATAAATGCACAGAAGCCCAGAGAAAGAGTATGTAGTTTGCCTAAGGTCATAGAACTAGAGTATGGTAGAGCGGAGACTCAGGTTAACTCTCTGTCTTCTGATGCCTCCATTGGGTTGGAAAATGGAGTGGTGAGTTGTAAGTGACCAGTCAGGCTCTGAGGTCAACATAATTCCAAACCTTCACCCTGGACAATTGGTGTAAGATGGCACAGTTGCAAAAATAGGTGCAAAAGAGAACACCCAGAGGGTTAGATTATCATTTGACACAATGTCAACATATGGAAATCTAGATCATCTTGAAAATGTGTTTTAGAACTTGTGGAAAAAGAGAGGCCAGAAATGTGAATACAATAGGGACATTTTCTTTAAGCTTGTATTTGGAATTTTTTGGCAATCAGAATATTGGTGTGAAAAGTATGAAAAGAGGAGAACAGAAAATATATCTTATTCAGGCCAGATTTTGGCAAAATGCCTTGCAGAAAGTGTCAATATCCCTAGAGGATGAGATTGTGGACTCAGCTGTGAGACTTGGGGTAAGATTCCAGCTCAGTTAACTCAGAGTATTAAGGCAAGAAAGTTTATCCTTTCTAAGCCACATTTCCTCATTTTCCTATTTAAACATAATGTTAGTGCTTACCTTATAGAGTTAAACCAAACAATATATAAAGCCAGTGACAGCATGTCTAAAACATCCCAACTATTTACTAGAAATACATCATCAGTAAATATAAAGGATTGGATAACTGAATAAATGAAGGAAGAGAAAATTCAAAATTTCTCTATAATTATGGGGTTATATAAAAAGGAGATATAATTAATCTTAGAATCTAAAGCTGTTAAATTAGTGATTTTGATATTGGTCCACTAAGATGTATTTAAATCTCTTTTCTAACTCTGTGAAATGCTGAGTGATCCTTTGGAAAGTTGTGTCTTACAAGCAATGGAACAGTTTTATAATTGCTGAAGTTTCATTAACCCAAATTCAATTCCAATAGTCAATGTGTCAGTGTTAAAATAGTTTCCGAGTTTGTCATTTGATCTATATGCCTTTAACCTTTGGATGTCTAATTTCTTACAATCAGTATATAATTGTCGAGTCTGGAGAAAAGAACAGAAAGATGCTGCATTGGGCCTCAATGCACAAATAAATAGTGACATTTAGAATAATTATGGTACACTCTACTTTCCAAGTTGATGACTCGTAATATTCTAAGGATATATATATTTTTTATATATATATATCCTTATATATATATTAGCGTTTGGTAAAGCAACAGTGAAAATTCAAATCTCCAAATACTCTACTTATGTATTTATTTGTGATAATGTTTAACTATCTGGCCTTAATGACAATTTCCACTGTTTTATGATCTCTACAATAATGAAGCTTTCTAAAGTAGACTTACTCCTTTGAAATATTCTTTAAAATGAATGGCCACTCATTTATTAGAAGATAAGATGCAAATTGTTGCAGTGTAAAATGTAGAATGGGCTATTACCTTAAAACAATGTATGTTTAGTGACTTATCTATTTTCTCTCACAAAAGAATTAAGAAAGCATTGAGATTAATCAAGATGGGGATTTAACATCACCATAGTGAACTATTAAATAGGTTCATATGTTACATAAAATATATTCAGTCGACAATTTCTGAAGTATGAGGACAAATGACTTTAGGTTTAGAAAAACCAATTTTTATCAAGATTTAAAATTTTATTTTGTCCAAACACTCTCCTTGTGCAAATTCTATATTTGGATTTCCTGTTGGATGAGTTGTAAAAGGTTTATTTATCTAAAGCTCTAAGTTAAACTTGCAAGAAAATGAGTTTGTTTGTTTTTGTTTTTGCCTTTTCCTGGTTGAGTGTAGGCTCACTTTATAGACTTTGAGAAGAAATTGTGAATGATGCTATGTAAAATGTGCCATTTTTGAGAAAGTAGTGCATCGTGATTTGAAACTGACACCAACACATTGCATTTTGATCTGTTAAGGTCTTCGGTCAAAGGGAGAAGCAGGCTTCAAGCTATTTTTTTTTCATTAAATTTATTGGTGCTTTTTAGGTGTATAGTACAGTTACATTCATCATTGGGATCTTGTATCTTTACATAATATGTCTTGGTTCTCATTTTTTCCCCATTCCCCTGCCTTACCTTCACCCTTTCCACCCTTCCCTATTTACAACTTTGTTTCCATTTTTTCCTTTTGTCGTAATTTTTTCTTTTCCCTTCCCCTACCTTTCCCACTTTCCTTGCACTACTCCTTTAGATCTTTTCTTCCTATTTCACATTAGCAATTATACCATTTGAACCTTATTTACATTTTTAGTTTTTTAAACAATTAATTAAAAAATCTTTTATTTTAGCCATCAGCTATGGGTATACTGTGTATTTTAGTACTAAGAAGTAAAAGTTGTTTCCAGTTAATGGGGCTATTGCATATGTATTTTGATTAATGTGGGGACACCTATTTGGGAAAGAGGTTGAAAGAGAAAAATGGAAGGAGTAATGTTTTCTGCCTCAGCCTGCCTCCTAAATCCCTTGCTTTATTTCAAGGAACATTTCACTAATCTGCCCAGTTTAGTAGTGACCAGGGTGCTGACCATATGATGACTCACCTCAAAATATGTTTCTCCTTGATAATAAAAACATGTTGAAAAGGCTGGAACAAATGGCTTATATATAGTGCCCTATATTTCTGAATGTTTATCAATTTAAATTATGGGTTTCAACTGGGGAAGTAAAAAGGACTATAACGTGAAGTGTACATATTCTCTCTATGACGAATGAATTCATCATGTAGCACAGACAATATTAATAAAATAATTCTCCAACAAAAAATTCTGAAAAGCATTTTGTGAAATACCATAAAAAAGATACAAGGGTATCTACTGATCTTTATTTTGACAAAATATATTATTCATCCTGGGAAAGTTACGTGCATAGTCCCATCTATCTGAAAGATAGGACTGTTAATTTTCTTTTTTTTTCCAGAATAATTTTGAGATTTTGAAGCAAGACATTATTGACTATAATTATTTAAAAAGAAAAAATAAAATTGTTTGGAAACTTCATCGATTTCTATGTTACTGGCTTTTCTGACAGAGTGCCTTAATTATGAATAATTAATTATTATAATAATAATTATTACTTCAGATATATTTGAATGTTATTTTATTCAGCTTTAAAATTATGCAATTTTTTTCTAATTTTTGAAAGTAAACTTTATTACATCTAAGAGTATAAGAAATTTAAGGCAACATTTTACATTTACCCCACACCAAATCCTTTTCCCTTGTTGAAAAGAAAGGTGAATAAATTTAACATCATTCATTTCTGCTGTGTCCTCTATTTCTTGTTTCCTTTTGACTTGCAAACAAAGAATGACTGGAAACAGGTGTTTACTTTTATGTTCTGTATCATCTTGCTGAGGATTTGAAAGTTCTAGTGATAAAAAAAAAATCGTCTTTAGCAGTAAAGTAAGCTTTGATTCAGAGCTGAAGGAGGAGATGAGGAAGCTGCACTTTTAACCCTGAGGCTTACACTCCTCACGTAAAAAGATGACTGCTGATGTTTTAGATTTTTGATTCCACTGTGCTCATCACTGTTTTATTATGCTATGTTTGCCTGACTGGGTCTCTATATTTAGAAGAACACCTCTCTCTTCACTTTATTTCCTATATGAAAAACCAGACTACTACATTTTCCATGACAAGCTGTTCTAGCTGTTAATTTGCTTCATAAATTACTAGAAAATGATTAATAGTTATCTAATTATGTATTTTAGACAAAAGAGACAACTTGTTATTAGACACTGCCTGCAGAGAAAAGACTATATAATGATTGTTAAAATATTGAGAAAAAGAAATTATTGTCATTTTTTTAGAAATTTTAAAAATATGTTTTTTTTTTTCCTAGAATCAATTTTGTTTATGGGAAGAGTGACAAATCCTTACACCCAAAAGATGAAAAGAAGAGATTTAGATTCACTGTGAATGAAAACACAGCTCAAGAACACAAGACAAATCCTGGAAAATAGTTGATTGGCAAAATATCGCTGCCTTGAAAATATTTTCTTTGTATCATTTTTTGTTCGTAACTATGCCCATATTAATCTCTATTAATGTAGTTCTGTATTAATAGATATGAAATTTGATATGTATTTGTTTCTGTTCTATGTGTTTAACACAGCCTATATAAATCCAAATCAAGGAGATTACATGAAATAAAATTGTTAGATGTTAGAACAATCCTAAAAAGACTTAGATATCCAATTTCTGCCTTAGTTATCAAATTCCGTATGTTCCTGGAAGACTGGACTATCCAAGTCCTCCACTCCGCAGCGTTATCTAGATGATGCAGAGGAAAATTCAAGAGAGTGAAGATGGTACATGCTGGGTTGTGGATGAAGGCGCAGAGATCCAGTCCCTATGACAGTAAATAAACTTTAGATTTTTGTGAATTTTAACCTGTTCTTCCACGTGTTAATATCTGGATTGTTTCATTGTATTTTGGACCGCATCAATATTTTGATGCTAATTTATTCTGTAAACATGTATGGAAAGTAGAAATGCTGAGAAATTTATAAAGCTTCTCCAGTTTCATAGGTAAAAGTAGCAGCTATATTAGCATGGTTCAGGAGGACAGTCTTCAACAATTTTCCAATACTGAGCCAAGACTGTCCTCTATAAAGATTAAATGTAGATGTCTTCCTCTGTGTATCCAGAAATATCATATCTAAACAGCAAACATAATACTACATCCAAACATCACTTCATGTAACATGTTTCACAGTTTTATACATTTTTATGCTAATGAAATAAAATATTTTTTTGTTTGTTGCGACAATTTTTGGCAGGCAGCTTACTGATAATAATTACCCCATGTTCAGCTCTAATTTTATATCATTTACTGAGGTAAGGGATAAATACAGTGGGTAGATTTTAACTCAAGGCTGAGCTAGAAGACTATGATCCTTTTCAGGGGAGGGGAAATAATTTTTCTTCAAGGATTCATAGTTGTTAGCTGGGACTTTCTGAAACAAAAGATTAATGAACAAGAGAAATACAAATATCAGTTTATTAACATCTTTTGTGATAGATGAGGGATAATCAGAGAAAAATGAATAAATCTCAAAGAAGTGATTTAGAACTCTGGCTTATGTAGCATCTTTGACAAAGAACAATACATTTGTGGGTAAGTGACGGGACAAAAGCAAAGGACCTTGAGTTTGCATGGGAGGCAAATTGTAAGAAGGCAAATATATGGTAGAGAAAGGCTAGTTATTAAGATTTGTTACGTAGATATTTTGTGGTACTGTCTCCTAGTTTATAAGTATCTAAAGCTGTTCCTTAATCATTTGTCCTTTCTGAAGAGAGGTGACAGGGAATACTCTTGAAATATAGCCTTGCTTTTGGGCAAATAGAGGGCAGAGAGCTTTAGTGTAACATGGTACTTAGGGTAAAGTGACATATTTTGGTGTGACATATTGTGCTACCCTTCCTCTTCTACTCTAGTTATGGAAATCTAGGCATTCTCCTACAGAGAAACTTAGGGAAACACTCAAGAAATTCTGAAAACAATTTCAGAATAGTAACTGCTTAAAACCAAAATATAAGTGAAAGTGATATTTATTCCTAAACTCACTTGAACTTATGCAGATAGAATAGTGACTACTAATTTATACACTAATAATTTACATGCTAATTTACGTGCCATGTACATGTCTTGTTCTTCCTTACTAAAGGAAGTGGTGTAAAAACATAGTTTATTGATTTGGAAGAAGAGAATAAAAAGTTCAAGTAAAGAAGAGTAATGTTGCTCAGGTGTGGCTCAAATTTCTATTTCCTTTGAACTGGCTGATCTCTTCTAATCGTCTCCCATGTATTACATACCATTCAGCTTTGGGATGTCATTCATTTAACTCACAAATACTAATTGTGCTCCCACCATGTTTCAAGCAATGCAAACAGGCCAGTGAACAAAGCAGACAAGGTGTCATCTCTCACACAGCTCACATTTTGTTACTGGCAAGACAGTAATCCAGTGAACAAGTTAATTTTAAGTTGTAACAATTGTTGATATAGATAAAGCAAAATAAGGGAGTGAAATGGATTTGAATAATTGAGATCCTTTAGGTAAAGTTGAAGGGTTAGTTTATGTACATGTTTTGTGCTGGGCACAGCGGTGCTTACATAATAGGATCGAGAGTTTGCAGTCAGCCAGCAGCATAGACCTGACCTCCACAAAAGAACACATGTTCTTAAAATGCACTCTTACTATATTTGCTTTTCTTTAGTAAGATGAGTAAAATGTCTAATCTCTGCCACAAGTTTCTTATTATTAATCCTGTTTGCTTTATGCAAAAGTTGTGGTTAATTTTTCTTCGATATCATGCTCTTCCTCTGATTGATGTTCTTTGGCTAAAAAGGATAAATTAACTCCTTCTGAAAGACAGAATGGATATCTAGCTGGGTTCATACTGAAAATATTCTCTTTTACTTTGTTTTAGGATCATAGCTGCCAAAACACTTCCCAAATTAGCACCTTCATTCTTCATTTTATGTTGCAATTAACTCAATATTACTATAATTTATAACATGAAGTATGATGCCTGAGATATATTTATAAAATATATATATATTTATTAAAGAAAATAAATATGAAATAATTTTAACAAGAAATGTTTGAGAAATTTTTAGAATTCACAAGTAATGCATAATCTGAAATACAAATGTTGACAATTTAATAGCCCTCGTGAAGTCTAATATATCACATATATCACACATCTTTTTCTTCTTGAACCAAAATTGTCATTCAGGTAGTAGAAGAACTGGGTAAAACTGACAACATACAGTTTTAATTCAGATCATATTGTAGATGTGTCTGCTACATCTAGCAATGAGAACCAAGAGGGCAAAATCTTGAGCTCAGTGACAATTTCTTTTTGGGTTGAGGTTTATAGAATTCTCCTGAATTGGATAATAAAGATCTGGATATCTGGAAAAGATACAGTGCTTTGCACTTTTGAAAATAAAACATTTTCACACAGCATGTCCTTGACCATTGGAATTCATTTTATGAGGGACCTGGACAGTGGATCAGCTTGAGACTGGTTTCTGTGCATATGGTGGAGAAGCTATAGCTGCTTTAATCTGTTTGCTGCTAGGAATAGTTCTCCCTGCCCTCACTTTTTTCTACCTCTTTCCCCTAGGTGTCTTATGTGATAATCTCTAAACCTGAAGTATGAAATTCAAGGGGTTAAAAACAAATATTCTCTTTCTCTTTTTGATGCAGCAGGAGTTCATCCCACTGGAAAATATAAAGAAGATGAAAGAGGTGACACTTTACACTGTTGAACATTATATCTCTTGGCTTGTCACCCCAGTGTTCTAGGGCTACATGGTCCTCACCTGTACCATGAATGGCCAGACAAGTCCTATCGAAAGTCTTTATTCTAAAGTCATATGGTTGTAAACCTTGGACTTTTCAGCAAAGCCACATCTTTGAAATAATGCTTTTTGTGGATAAGCAGTGTCTTTCCATCTTTCCACAAAATAAAATAAATCTGAGAATATCTCTCACTAGGATCTTGGTCCATTATGTTATCTTTATTTGTCATTTCCTCTGTAATTTTGAAGTTTTAGTTTTATAAACAGAAAAATTTTGCTACCATGGCAGAGACCTATCTTTCAAAGATTTCTAAGTTCACAGTGCCGAGTTGTGGTAGGTGGGTGGGTGGGGCTTGTCAGGACTTCATTTCCTCCCTCCTTGGATTTCTCCAGCTGGAGCCTGGTTTGCATTAGCAGAGGGCAAGTTGAAGTGAGTGCATCACTTGTGAGCTCACATGATTAAGAAACAAGTGTCCCTCTCTGATAGATTTCTTTTCCTGTGTGTCTACAGGTCTGTGCAAGGTGACCTGTAAGCCATATTTAGAAGCTGATAGATGTTCTGTTATCCCCAGTTCCTCCGTGGTTCTGTGTCATTGCAGCCTTCTCTAAATACAACCAGAGTACCTGCACTGGATTATGAATGAGCAAAGTTATATCTACATGGCACTTGAGAGATTATATGTGAAAAGAGTTAATTTCAGACACTTAACAGGATGTTTCTATGACACAAAGTATATAGCATTATTTAAAGTGGGACAGTAGTACCCACAACAGACAGAGCAGGCTGGAAGGGAGAAGAGCTAAGCTGCAAAAATGTTTGGTAAAAATTGTTGCCTATGATAACGTGGAAGACAGATCACATGAATACTGGTCCTGTATCCACCTAGACACTACCTATCACTTCAGTGGAACTTGGTAGACTTCTGAACTCGTTTTCAACAGTGGGCTATAAATAGGATGATACGCATTTCTTCCGGTTTTGTCAGTTAGAAAGCAAATGTTCCTAGATTTATCAGGTCCTCTCCGTTAGCATTTTGGTGATCATGGAAGCCTGGTATAGTAAAGAGTAGAGGCTTTGTGTACCATGGTCCCTGAAAGATTTCATCAGTCATAGTGATCCTATCTTCTTTGTTACCATCATACATATGACGCGACTAAGCAGGATATATACTGTATGGTACTAGGCCATTGGAACTAGGTAGTTAGTGTTTAGCAAAATAATACAATTATGTTCTTAGCACATGTTTTATATGTAGTATATAGATTTCTCATTTTGCCATTAGACACATGTTAGAATAATAGTCTGAAATTGTTTTCTTCGATTTGCATTATTCTGTGAAAGAAATTTAGCAGTGATACTGCTGTGCATTTTCCCATCAAACCACTCATATGCACCATAGTAATATACCTTCTTCACCAGAGGAAAGAAATGACACAGAGTACAGAAAATGCACTAATGGGGTGCTTTTCTGGTTGTCAGATAGCTCTTTTGGTTGAGATTGTTTACGTGATTTTTAAAAAGTAGCTTTCGTGTGAGAGTTGCCTATGTGAGTGTGTATGTATCTGTATGTATGCTGGCAGTAGGAACTTTACTTAAAGATTTGTCTGAAATAGAGTTTTGACGAATAAAAATGCATACTTGCAAGGGGTGAAGATTCAAAGTCTTCGTAATGATATTTAATATGCCTCAATTCCCCATGGAAAAGTACATAAGAAAAGGTGATGGAAGCAAGTTCTCAACAGACACCTGTAAAGACCAAAACTAATTTTCCTTCGGTTATATATACATATCATATTTGAATGATTTGGTCATAATTTATATAACACTGTATCTGTGTACCCATGAAAATATTCAAAGTGAAAGTTCTTGTAATGTTTCCTATTTTATAATTATCAATAGCTTATATTTAGAGAGAGGTCACCTTTTGGGGTAACACATATATCATAGTTAGTCTTCAAGTCTGTTTCATATCCTTTATAAAATGAGGATTTTTTTTTTTTTTTTTTTTGGTACCGGGGATTGAACTCGAGTCTTTGTGCTTGCAAGGCAGGCCACCAAACTGCTGAGCTAAATCCCCGGCATATACACTGAGGATATTAATTTTCCAAAAGGCTAAG